TGTTTTTACTGTCACTAAGATAATAATAATGAAACCATTTTGTTTTGATTACTGCCCCCTACTGGATTGATGGAGTTGTGCAGTTTTTCTCAGACTGATTTAAATAACTGTTCCAGGACCTTTCAGAGCAAAGAGAGCAGCAGCCTGATGAATCCTCTGGGTTCCTGTTTCCAGCGTTAACCACATCCTGGAGCTTTGAGTGGAAAAGGGTCTGAAATATTAGTCTGAATCTGAAGGAGGAAACAAGGAGAAAAATAGGAGCAGTTAGAGGAGGAGCAACGCTGGAAAAACCAGTTTTAGTGTCACTTCACAGAAATGAAACTGAAAGGCTGTGAATAAAATCAGAGCTTCAGTTCAGACTAGTTTCTCCGTCTCTGTCAGAGTTTCTTCTGTCTTCCTCATCAACCGACTCAAACAGCGGTGAGTACAGCTGATAATATTCACTGTGTTTCTACCAGCAGCATCAACAGCAAACTGAAAGATGTTAATCAGCAGAAAACTGGAAAAATCATCTTGTTATATTCAGAAAAACACAGATTTCTATTTAATGCTTTTAATTGTTTGGAACAAATATGAAAACTAAATAAAGACATTGGTAAAGTGGATCGTACTCTTTAATTCAACCTAAATGTAAATTTGTGGTTCAAAGGTCAGTCTTTTTTAGCCTCAGTCGATGACAGAAAGACTCCTCCCAGTTGAAAGTCCACAGAGAGACACACCCAGTCAGATTGATCCCAGTAAAACCTCTGAGTCCATGAAATGTTGGTTATTCTCATGTTTCAGAGCAAAGTCCACAGTCAGACTCTGCCAGGTCTCTGCTGTTCAGCTTCTTAGGGACAGTTGTCCCTGTTTGACCCATTTCCATCCCTCTGCTGAGACAGTCTGGCTAAAGTTAGTCCAGGAGGGTTGGAGACCTGTCCACCATCTGAACCAAAGCTGTAAACTCGACGTGTTTAGTGTGGAGGAGAGAAACCATCTCTGTCACTGCCTCGGCCATTTCTCTGGATCCCTTTGAACAGAGAGCAGATGTTTCAGCTGGACCTCTGCTGGTTTGTGGTGCTTCAGTGAGGCTCCTATCATTGATGTCCAAGTCTGATGTGGTTGGAGGTGTTGGAACCAGTCAGCGTTGCCCTGTGAGGAAGACAGTCTGTGAACAAGAACTGATGTTAGGATGCATCTGGTTTCACACTGACAGTGTTTCAGAAAGCTGACGTTCTGCCTCTCTGAGAGACAACAGGTCCTGGAATAACAGCTTCTGTTGC